GACCAGGCCGCTGGATTCCGCTTTTTGGGCTGGCGGGTGGATCCTTACAACAGCAGTAAATAGCGACCAGCACCAAGCTCTGAAAAAATATGCAAAAGTATCACAGAATGATCCCATGCGACACGTGTCATATATTCCAAGTTTTCTGGTGGTATATGATAGGATTTGGTGAAAAACAAACTGAAATTGAATGTATTATTTAATGAAAATCCTGACCTTGGCTGTTGGTCTTTTGTGCACGACTGTGTGTTCATGACATTCTATTAGCGCCACAGTTCACTTCGATTCACCCATAAAAAGCACACAAAAGAAATCAAGATTATTAAAAATGCATCATGTAATCTATCTCCTAGAAATCCCCCAAAAAATATCCGTGTACTTTCTTCACAGAGTATATCCAGACTGGAACTTTGGTTGTCAGATGACAGTAAGACACCAGATATAATCACCTCAGAAAAGAAAGTACTTGGATTGGATTGTCTCTTTCTAATTAATGTTTATTTATTCTTTGGCGACTTCAACATTCATCTGTATTATTTAATGAAAATCCTGACCTTGGCTGTTGGTCTTTTATGCACGACTGTGTGTTCATGACATTCTATTAGTGCCACAGTTCACTTCGATTCACCCATAAAAAGCACACAAAAGAAATCAAGATTATTAAAAATGCATCATGTAATCTATCTCCTAGAAATCCCCCAAAAAATATCCGTGTACTTTCTTCACAGAGTATATCCAGACTGGAACTTTGGTTGTCAGATGACAGTAAGACACCAGATATAATCACCTCAGAAAAGAAAGTACTTGGATTGGATTGTCTCTTTCTAATTAATGTTTATTTATTCTTTATTTCTCATCGCTGGATGTGAATGCAGCAACTGACACTTTATGCTGTACCTTAACCTCTTGTCTAGATTATATTTGTCCTTTCTCCTCCAGGCCAGCACGGGCTGCCCCTTCTAACCCCTGGTTAGCCGATGTTCTTCGTGAGCATCGGACCAAACTCAGGGCAGCAGAGAGAAAATGGCACAAATCAAAAGATCCATCAGGCCTGAGTATGTATCAGTCTTTGCTTTCATCTTTCTCTGCTGAAGTCCATACTGCCAAATCTTCATACTTCCACAACAAGATCAACAGCGCTCCAGACACACGTAATCTCTTCAAAACTTTCAATT